GAGTGGTAGAAAGTGGCCTTAGCAGCAGAAACAGATGAAGAAAATGTAGAGAGGAGGGAGTGAAAAGATGCCAGGTCGGCAGGGAGTTTAGTTTTCTTCCATTTCCGCTCCGCTGCCCGGAGCTCTGTTCTGTGAGCTCGCAATGACTCATCAAGCCATGGAGCTGGAGGGGAGGACCGAGCCGGCCGGGAGGATAGGGGACACAGAGAGTCAAAGGATGCAGAAAGGGAGGAGAGGAGGGTTGAGGAGGCAGAATCAGGAGATTGGAGGGAGAAGGATTGAGCAGAGGGAAGAGATGATAGGATGGAAGAGGAGAGAGTAGTGGGAGAGAGAGAGCGAAGGTTGCGGCGGCGCATTACCATCTGTGTAGGGGCAGAGTGAGTAGTGTGGGAGGAGAGCGAGAGAGAAAAGGAAACAAAGTAGTGGTCGGAGACATGGAGGGGAGTTGCAGTGAGATTAGTAGAAGAGCAGCATCTAGTAAAGATGAGGTCAAGCGTATTGCCTGCCTTGTGAGTAGGGGGGGGACGGTGAGAGGGTGAGGTCAAAAGAGGAGAGAAGTGGAAAGAAGGAGGCAGAGAGAAATGAGTCAAATGTGGACGTAGGGAGGTTGAAATCCCCCAAAACTGTGAGGGGTGAGCCATCCTCAGGAAAGGAACTTATCAAGGCGTCAAGCTCATTGATGAACTCTCCAAGGGAACCTGGAGGGCGATAGATGACAAGGATATTAAGCTTAAATGGGCTAGTGACTGTGAGAGCATGGAATTCAAATGAGGAGATAGACAGATGGGTTAGGGGAAAAATTGAGAATGTCCACTTGGGAGAGATGAGGATTCCTGTGCCACCACCCCTCTGACCAGATGCTCTCGGGTATGCGAGAACACATGGTCAGATGAGGAGAGAGCAGTAGGAGTAGCAGTGTTTTCAGTGGTAATCCATGTTTCCGTCAGCACCAGGAAGTCGAGGGACTGGAGATTAGCATAGGCTGGGATGAAGTCAGCTTTGTTGGCAGCAGAACGGCAGTTCCAGAGGCTGCCTGAGACCTGGAACTCCAGGTGTGGGGTGCGTGCAGGGACCACCAGGTTAGAGAGGCAGCAGCCACGCGGTGTGGGGCGTTTGTGTAGCCTGTGCGGAGAGGAGAGAACAGGGATAGGCAGAGGCATAGTTGACAGGCTGCAACAGATGGCTACAATAATGCAGAGGAGATCGGGATGAAATGAACATCAGGGAAAGGAGAGAGCAGGCCTCCCTCACCAAAAAAATAAATAAATATATAACTCTCCCAACTTCCACCTCAGAAACTATAATTGTTTCACTGAACCACCCGAATAAAACTCTCCCAACTTCCACTTTAGAAATTAGAATTGTTGTAAGCTACAGCAGACTGTTATCAGTAGCTGTAATTAAGTACAGCAGCTACCAACCACCTAACGTTAATGCCTCGGATGAGGTTAGAAAAACAGCTGAATGGTAGCAGCTAGCTGGCTCAATCACAGGTACTCTCAAGCATGAAATAACATTGGAAACAGCTAACCACAGTTGCTAAAAGTTACCGGTAGCTACCCTCTAGCTAGCTAGCTTTGTTGGTCCAGGTAGTGGGTAAGCTAGCCTCGTGCTTCGCCTGGGCTCCGCCGAATAAAAATCCTTACCTACAATAATTACCTACAATAATAACCTACAATAACTACCGGAGTAAGCTACCTATAATACCAAACTACAATACCTACCTACAAACTAAATACATGGTTTAAGCTTAACTCAACACCATAAACGAAGCCAAGCTTACCTCTCCTGCTAGAGAAAACACAACCTCTCCCGTCAGCAACCTGTATTCATGATCATTGCAACTCCACGAGGTGAGATCTTGCATGGAGCCCCAGGCCGAGGGAGATTGACAGTTCTTTTGTGTTTCTTCCATTTGCGAATAATCGCACCAACTTTTGTCACCTTCTCACCAAGCTGCTTGGCGATGGTCTTGTAGCCCATTCCAGCCTTGTGTAGGTCTACAATCTTGTCCCTGACATCCTTGGAGAGCTCTTTGGTCTTGGCCATGGTGGAGAGTTTGGAATCTGATTGATTGCTTCTGTGTACAGGTGTCATTTATACAGGTAACAAACTGAGATTATGAGCACTCCCTTTAAGAGTGTGCTCCTAATCTCAGCTCGTTACCTGTATAAAAGACACCTGGGAGCCAGAAATCTTTCTGATTGAGAGGGGGTCAAATACTTATTTCCCTCATTAAAATGCAAATCAATTTAAAACATTTTTGACATGCATTTTTCTGGATTTTTTTGTTGTTATTCTGTCTCTCACTGTTCAAATAAACCTACCATTAAAATTATAGACCGATCATTTCTTTGTCAGTGGGCAAACGTACAAAATCAGCAGGGGATCAAATACGGGTCAGGCATGGTGCACGTCTATAAGAGCAGAGTGCGCTCTCCACTTTCCTCAGGTATTATTTTTAGCAAACGGGAAAAGAACTCCAGACAGAAATGTTGTAGCAGCTTACATCTAAATGATTTACGATCTGACATGCTGTATCAGTCTGTTCAACTGTAGGCTTTCTATGCGTCCTGTCCCATCTTGCCAGGGGAAATGAAGCGTGAATGTGAATGTGATCAAATTTGGATTATATTCAAACTTCGGATGGCTAGGCTACCTAGGACTTTTTTAATACAATCAACAAATAGTGAAGACGTACAGTGTATTCGGAAAGTATTCAGACCCCTTCAATTTTTTCACATTTTCTTACGTTACAGCCTTATTCTAAAATGGATTAAATTGTTTTTCCAGATCCTCTCAAGCTCTGTCAGGATGGATGGGGAGTGTCGCTGCACAGCTATTTTCAGGTCTCTCCAGAGATGTTCAATGGGTTCAAGTACGGGCTCTGGCTGGGCCACTCAAGGACATTGAGGCTTGTCCCAAAGCCACTCCTGCATTGTCAAGGCTGTGTGCTTAGGGTTGTTGTCCTGTTGGAAGGTGAACCTTCACCCCAGTCTGAGGTCCTGAGCGCTCTGGAGCAGGTTTTCATCAAGGATCTCGCTGTACTTTGCTCCGTTCATCTTTCCCTCGATCCTGACTAGTCTCCCAGTCCCTGCCGCTGAAAAACATCCCCACAACATGATGCTGCCACCACCATGCTTCACCGTAGGGATGGTGCCAGACGTGGCACTTGGCACTCACGCCAAAGAGTTCAATCTTGGTTTCATCAGACCAGAGAATCTTGTTTCTCATGGTCTGAGAGTCTTAAGGTGCTTTTTGGCAAACTCCAAGCGGGCTGTCATGTGCTTTTTACTGAGGAGTGGCTTCTGTTTGGCCAATCTACCACAAAGGCCTGATTGGTGGAATGCTGCAGATATGGTTGTCCTTCTGGAAGTTTATCCCATCTCCACAGAGGAACTAGAGCTCTGTCAGAATGACCATTGGGTTCTTGGTCACCTCCCTGACCAAGGCCCTTCACCCCCGATTGCTCAGTTTGGCTGGGCAGCCAGCTCTAGGAAGAGTTGGTGGTTCCAAACTTCTTCCATTTAAGAGTGATGGAGGCCACTTTGTTCTTGGGGACCTTCAATGCTGCAGAATGTTTTGGGTACCTTTCCCCAGATCTGTTACTCGACACAATCCTGTCTCTGAGCTTTACGGACAATTCCTTCAACCTCATGGCTTGGTTTTTGCTCTGACATGCACTGTCAACTGTGGGACCTTAAATAGACAGTTGTGTGCCTTTCCAAATCATGTCGAATCAATTGAATTTACCACAGGTGGACTCCAATCAAGTTGTAGAAACATCTCAAGGATGATCAATGGAAACAGGATGCACCTGAGCTCAATTTCGAGTTTCATAGCAAAGGGTCTGAATACTTATGTAAATAAGGTATTTCTGTGTTTTATTTTTAATAGATTTGCAAAAGATTGTAAACTGTTTTCGCATTGTCATTGAGGTATTGTGTGTAGATTGCTGATGAAATTGTTTTATTTAATCCATTTTTAGAATAAGGCTTTAATGTAAGAAAATGCAAAAAAATAGTACTTGGTGATTCTACCCTGGCCTGGGTAGTACAGGATCTGCCTGAACCAGAGGGTGGAGGGTCTGTGTTGAAGTCTACTGGCCAATCAGCATAGGAGGTGTCTACTTTCCTACACGCAGTTGGGTGGGGAGAGAAAACCTGCCCCATAAACAAGTCCATGTTGTGCTGTAAATTTTTGCAGACTAATAAAAAACTCACATCAAATAGACAAATGGTGTAATTGAAAACGTTTGATAGTGGTTAGGCCTACATAGTTTGTGTATTGTTGGACTTTGAAAAAACTACTTGTAGCATCAGTTCTTGATTGCAATTGTATTGTTAATTGCTTATAAATATAATAGGCTACAAATAAATTACGTTCAAAATGTTTCACTTAAATTAACCATACATTTCATTCAGAGGCCTCAACATCTGTTTTACTTTCATGCAACTGATGAAATACTAGATTTAGGGCGGAGAATTTTGATACACGTTTCATTAGCTCATACGATTGAGGGAGTTCTATTAACCTGAGCCGCGGTGCACCGGGATATGGCCTGCAACGTGAAAGTGCAAAAGCGGTGAGGGAGGAGCGCCCTTCTCAAATCGAACAGTAATCTGAGGCTCTCAGTCATGTTATCAACAAGGCAGCATGATGCTTCATTCAGAAACATAACATTTTCCATAAAATATATCTTCACATTTTCAAACTTGTTTTCATTGCTAAGGCATATAAAGCCTTTTTATCAAAAGCAATAATTTTCGCATGTGAAAATAGAGAATCCTGGTCATTACTCCATTTGCTTAACCTACGTCACGGGGCACTTGGCTCACGCCCCTGTGGCAGCCCTGTTCCAAATCGCATGCAATCAATGCTAACCCGCTTCATCCACACCCGGAGCATGCCCGGACATTAATAGAACTCCTCAATGTTGGTGTGAGGGCTACGCCGTGTCCAATCAGAAAGAAGGCGTGAGTATACAGGAGTCTCATTGGCCTAAAGTTTCGCTTCCAGTTTATCTCTAGCTAGTATAAATACTAATAGCACCCATAAGACTTACGTCGAGAAAGGCTAGATAGAAAAATACGGATATCAGACATATAATAAATCCCTCACTGTTTTCAGAAATTCATAAACATTACAGTATTCTAGTATTTGATATTTCTGCACAAAGTAGAAGTCAGTGTGATCCTTGAAGATACAGAATGTCGGTCGACAGTGTTTTTCGAACGCGTTCTCTCGGCGTTGCTGCGGTGGGTCTTCCTGATCAGTATGCCGACGGAAAAGCAGCAAAAGTGTGGCAGCTGTACATCGGAGACACGCGGAGTAGAACGGAGGAATACAAAAGCTGGGTGGTGTCCCTGCTAAAACGACACGATGTGCAAAGGATACTGGATGTAGCCTGTGGCACAGGGTAGGCGATGTTGCCGATACAACTAGTATTTCTGAACTGTACATTTCTCCGTACACAACAGCTTGTTGGCACTCGTAGGCCACTGCAAACATCACTATAATAAGCATATAACACATCGAGCCCTTAACAACCTTTCATTTTGACTTGTGGTTCTTATTGCATCGTCTCTTTAGTGTCTAGCCGTTGGATAGGCCTTGATTGCAGTTGCTGAAATATTCCATTAGTTGCCACCTGCTTTTGTGGCAGCCTACATTGCAGAAAAATAAGCATCGTGTGTATTAGCTAGATAAAACAGCCTTCAACGAATATAAAGCACATTTTATCTGCGGAAATGTAGGCCTTCTTAAGATAATCTGCTCAGTGTTGAATCTTGATGTATTATAATAAATCGGTGTATTGTTAAATAGGAAGGATAAACTTGCTACCTGTGAAGAGATGTTGGTTTTCATTATGGGTCCCTATTTATGGCATAGTCTACAGAATTTGAGGAACTACCTGTGCGTTTAAGTTATGAAACCTCACTCCTAAAAAGACTGTAAAAGTTATCCAAAAAAGCAACAGCAGGTTGCCGTGCACTGCAGTTACTTTACTTTTAGCAGTTCCTTTTAGCTGTACCTCTTTTTCAATGCTTAACTGCTCCTCTGTAGTGGTGCAGGTGCAACGTTTTGGCATGCATACCAAATGTTCACTCATGCAGAAGTAAAATGTGGAGCTGTTTTCAGATTGGCTGGGCAGATGGGGCTACTCACACCCCTGAAAAAAGTACAAGTTGCAGGTTGGAATAGCCCAAATCCAGCACATCAAGTTGGAAAAGTCCATGGAATAGCCCATCTAAACCTTCTGTAAGGGTGTGTACTGGGCAAAAGTGAGTCAGTGCTTTGCACTAATATTGGCCTGATAGTGGTGAGTTTTGACTGGTTTTCCTCCACACAGATAGTGTATCTCTGTTTTTGGAGGTCAAATAATCTGGGAAGCTGCTAGTCGTCAACATGTTTTTCCAAACGTTGTAAACTTCTTTCATCCGGCTTTCGGTTATCTCGCCGTTGGGATGTGGTCCCCCTCTCTGAATAGGCCATAGATTATTGGAAACAAAGGCATGTTGCATTGGCAAAGACATGATCGTCAATGCGAAGTGTCAGGATTGTGTATATTGTATAGAAAACGGTTTGCCATTGTGCAATGTAGTAAATAACTTCATCTCTTGCATCGAATTTAACAAGCCAGTAGTTGATTATGTCTTTTCACATGTCTCGTCAACTGCGGTAGCACTGACCATGGGGCCTCTGAAATCCAAAATTAGTAAGTAGATGAATTGGAAAAGATTTTGACTGGCTCAGTCCAGACATAATGTGTTAGCCTAATCATTGTACCATTGCCACACTTGATATCCAGTTGGTTTGTACAGTAGTCACTATCTGGTGTACTCTTCTTCTGAGCTAATTTGAGTAATGGTCCTAACACACATCCTCATTCACATAGCGAACAGTGTGGCAGTTGTAGAATCATCCTCATTTCCAAGGAGTAACCCATGTTTATACGAATATACCGGGCAGAGTAGTGCAGTAGACCTTTTGAGTTTGGCCGCACTCTCGCAACTGTGCCCTGGTATCTCCCATAGTAAACATGCTTGGTGGAACTGGATTATTTAGGAGTGTCCCCCGCTATAGGCTATTTGGGGCTTTTGGAATGTTCTACCATAGCAAACCATCTAGTTGTTTTGTCATTGGATCTACTTGTATACTCTTGCTCTCTGAGTACTGAATCCCTCTTCTCAACCAATGATACAGTGAGTGTGACTAATTTTTAACTGCCAATGCTGTTTTGTTTTGTGTCACAACTGTCTACTATGGACTGCCAGCTCAGCAAAAGCTTGACCACAGGTCCACCCCATTCACAAATGTTTCTATAGCGTGTTCGCCGTCCACTAAAATGTATGAGCATTGGCTTTAACAAACCTGTTGCAGGTGTCACTATACATTTTGGTCATCCTTTGCAATGTGTTTTTTTGTCAACCAGACTGTTTACCTTTGTAACCTTAGCAACACACTGAATGAGTGACACACCCAACAAAAGCACGATAGTTTGGCTTATGACCATTTAAGGATTAGGTAGCTGATGCTAGCTTAGTTTAGCCCAAATATAGCCCACTTCATATAGGCCTATGTGCTTTTGTTACTGCCAAATGTACACCTGAAGTTCCCCTTGAAGGTTAAAAAAGCAAATCATTATAGTCAGTTCAAAACCCAATAGCAATGGTTTTGGTTTATTGCAGAGTGGACTCCATCATGTTGGTGGAGGAGGGATTCAAGATGACGAGCGTGGACGCCAGTGACAAAATGCTCAAGTACGCCCTGAAGGAAAGGTGGGAGAGAAGAAAAGAGTGTGCCTTTGACCAATGGGGTGAGTAGTGGGGGTGTGTCTAACTGAGATTCAAACCTGGGTCTCCTGTGCGCAACAATGCTTTGTTAGTAGGGATGCACATTTCGGTACATTTTCTTGCTTACTAACTAACCCTCATTAACCGGTCAACAAACGGTACACATTTTTCCAAACAGTAAAATGACTTGACCAACAGAAAATACTATTAGAGCTCTGTATATAATGATGAGATGCTTATGTTTCCTCCCTAACAATGGGAGTCGGCCCAAGGCGGGAAGGCAGGCGACAAGCTTAGGCCCAAAATAATAGGGGCTTATTTTGGACAGATTTTGGCGAGCGTGAAACCTCTCGCTTTGCCTCTTCCTTTCTGATACTATGCATGCATACAAGGACCGGACATTTGTCATTAAGAGCTTAATGGAAACATGCAACAATAGCAAGGCTATAGCCTATTATTGAACATGCAACTCCTGTAATGAAGCAGCTAATAAAACTTAATTTTCAAACACTTGCCAAAATGCAACTTGTGGGAAACACCGTTCTAAACCTAATGCGAGCAGTTGTGACCGAGATTTAAATCTCTGTTAGAAACTTAGAAAGAGGGGGAATCTAAAAGCAACCGCTATAATGGGTTGCTAATATGACTAGTTTTGTGCCTTTGGCTTCTGGACAACGAAAGAAAGTTGATATGTAAACCAGTAGAACAGGAGAGAAATGCTGTTGATGGCATGAGGAATTCTTATAAAATAATTGCCTAAACGTTTCTACGTGTGGATTTTCCCAAGGCTACTTTGAAGCAAGGTAAGACGTGCCTCATTATTTGAAGTAAAGTATAACATTCAGGTATCAAAATATTATACTACCTCAAGATCACATTGCAAAGTGGTGGGTGACACGCTGATAGTCAATGCTAGGCAGGCTATAGCCTACACACCCGAATGGGAGGTGCGCTTTAATTAAGAGTTGAGAAATATAAATAGCTCCTTTTAATCATGGTCACAAGTTTTTAACACGCTATTGCATTTAGAATTGTTATTTGTTGCGCAATGACTGGCCTTACAAAAGCAGGTTTCACTCCAGTAGCCTACAGACTTTTTGAGGAGCTACTCATGCTCTCTGACAGGTCGTAGGCTCAGTATGCTGTGGTCGTTTCAGAAGATGCATGATGACTAACGAAAATACACGCGCCAATTTAACTCCACAAAATTTTGCCATTTACCCTATAGTCTGATAAGCATGACCAGTCAAATTTATTTTGGGGGGCTAACTGATTAACGGTTAGCAGTTAACATCTCTATTTGTTAGCCGCTGAGCTAAAGCTTAGGCAGAGCTAACACAAGTCCTCAGCTTTCTTAATAGGTATTAAACTAGGAGGGAAGATGTCAAAGAAAATACTCTAGACCTCTTGTTAGGGATAAAATCCACCTAAATGTAATTTCTTAATTTTGTTCCTCTTTTTCCTTACCCTCCTCTCCTCCAGTGATCGAAGAGGCCAACTGGCTGACGTTAACAGAAGATGTGCAGAAGCCAGGGAACGGGTTTGATGCAGTCATCTGCCTGGGAAACTCCTTCGCTCACTTGCCAGACTTCAAAGGTGAGTGAGGGGCAGGCAGCCACTATTGTCATTGCATAACTTATTTTGGACTAACAAGTAACTTATTTATGCACTCTTTGAAGATGTATGGTTCTTGGTACTTTATTATTGGACCTTCTCTGTGTTGGGCTGGAACAAAAACCTGCACTTTGTGTAGCTTTGCAGGACCGGGATGATATCTGACATTGCAAGTATTAATTGATAGTGCTGTTATAACAGTATAAGTGCTAGTAACAGTATACAAGTAATGCACTCCCCCCACACATACGACATGCAGACACGCAGTCATCTCATTTTAAAACCCCCCCCCCCCCCCCCCCCCAAAAAAAAAAAAAAAAAACTATTCAAGAAAGCCTATAGCCTATGGTCCATGATTGACTCCGTCTACCCTTCCTTCTGTGCCTTACCAGTTTCTTATGTGTGTCCCCTAACCCTTACCCTAAACCAGGTCCATATCCTATTCCAACCCTACCCCTTAAACCTAATCCCTTACCATAAACCGGGTTTGTATCCTGTACCCAACCCCTCCCTCTTTATCTGTCCTGTTTTGTCTTGTCCTTTGATTTTAAATTGCAATTTTGATTGATGCACTTGTTTTATGTAGACCTACCTTTAATGTCAGATGTCCTTGAGTGTCTTGAAAGATAAAATGTATTATACATTTTTGGGTAGTAAGTTACTACTAGTAACAGTATATTGATTGGTTTGTGGTTAAGATGTATTGATGCTTGTCTATCCCAGGGGACCAGAGTGATCAGAAGTTAGCCCTGCAGAACATCGCCAGCATGGTGAAACCAGGGGGCATCCTAATCATCGACCACCGTAACTACGACTACATTCTGGAGACAGGCAGAGCGCCCCAGGGCAAGAACATCTACTACAAGGTACTAAACAAATTGAGGAACGTTGCATGCAGATAATACCATAAGTATCAGCAGTGGCTGGCATATCTATTCATCTATTTCAATCCATCTGTCTATTGTATTAATTTGTCCGTCTGTCCTGACCATCCATCCGTTCTTCCATCTTATCTCTCTATCAAGTTACCCACCCTTTTATTTCGTTAATTTGTTGTTTTGAGGGGGATGGCCTGTATCACCTTCAAGGTGAAAAATCTGTTGATGTGCCCTTGAGCAATGCACTTAACCCTAATTTGCTCCAGGAGTGCTGTATGACTGAGTGCTGTAAAACAACACATTTCACTGCATATATGTATAATGACCGCCTGGCAAGGGACAACAATAATAATCATAACATAATTCCCTTGGAATAGTGCTGCTTTATAATAATAATATAATAATATGCCATTTAGCAGACGCTTTTATCCAAAGCGACTTACAGTCATGCGTGCATACATTTTTGTGTATGGGTGGTCCCGGGGATCGAACCCACTACCCTGGCGTTACAAGCGCCGTGCTCTACCAACTGAGCTACAGAGGACCATTTAGTATCCCTATTTGTGAACTTTCACTCCCTTCAAAATAAACAAAATAGTTCCTAAAGGTAAAGTGATATTGCACCACCACGCAATCACTAGTACACATTGCCATTCTGATTGTAACATAGTTTATGCCAAGCCTTGTTGGTCAAGAAAATATAAAACATAAAGACATTTAACTTATTTTTTTCACTAAAATGTTGTGCAAGAAACTGAAGCTGTCTGGGTTTAAAACGTAAAAAGTGGTATGTCAGCGGTTCTCAACATGTGATAGTAGTACCCCTGGGGGTTACCTGGCCTATCCACAGGAGGTACTTGAAGACTCATAAATGCCTCTGCATCAGTTGCACATGAGGGGGTACTTCGGGTAAAATGTGACTGGGAGTTGAGTAACCTAAAGTAGGTTGAGAACCACTGGTCTATGTGGTAGAGGAAGAAGAGTCATTCGGACACAGTAATTTATGGGGAGGCTATTCCTGCCAAAACTGGCCAGCAGATGAGCTTTAGGCATAAATCTCCCTAAAGCCTGCCGGATATTGTCTTTGCAATGGAAATAGTTTCAGAGTGCAGGAAAGTCGATGCAGATTTCATTGAACCCAATGCCCTGATAGAAGCAGACTGGCGTCTACAAGGGTTTTATTTCTTAGGCCTGCTTAAAAATGAATGCACATGCTTTCATAGATACTCACTCATTCTTAAAGTCTGGTAAGGTGCAGCCTATGAATACGGCCAAGTAAACAGTCGGTAAGCAAATTCAACCCACTTATGGCAAAAGTACCAGTGTCGGCGCCCAAGGTCTTGTAGATCCATAGCAACAGCTTCCTTATTTTTCCGTAATTAGTTAGCAGTAGGACCTACTATCAACATAACATTTGTTTATGCTCCTATATTGGCAACTGAAGGGTTACAGATGTGTTGTCTTCTGTACTATTTTACACCAATATACTGTAGTTATAATAGAAAGTAATGAGTTCTCTTACATGCTAGTGTGTGCATCCATGCCTCGGTATTATGCTGTATGCGTGTCCTTATCCATACTGTTTGGTGACTAACCGCCGTGGTGTGTGTGTGTGTGCCCGTGCGTCATGTTTCAGAGTGATCTTACTCAGGACATCACCACCTCTGTGCTGTGGGTTGACAACAAGCCTCACATGATCACCCTGGACTACACCGTACAGGTGCCAGAGGGCCCACAGAGTTCCCCCGAACTCAGGTACAGCTACTTACATCAGTAGCATTATGATGTAGTCATAATGCATTGTAAAACTTGTCATAAGCACATACAGATACGGTGAAATATATTGACACCCTTACACTTTACAATGGAGTGCAATGGAGCACGTTCTGTTTTCTCTTTTCAAAACATGTTGAATAGCTATTTTTTACCCAGTAGGCACCTGCAATTTACCACGTGAGATAAATGACACAGTAAATTAGATTACTTGCCTCCAACCAAATCCATAATATTGTAAAGTGTAAAATCTTAATTTCGTTTTAGATTTTTTTGTTCTTGGTCCTGTGCAGTTGTAAATAAAACAATTACACGTGTGAACAAAAGTTATATTTTTTATTTTCAACTTATTTTATAAGAAATACTAAATCGTGCAAAGGTGGCAATATATACTGAACAAAAATATAAACGCAACATGGAACAATTTCAATGATTTTACTGAGGTACAGTTCATAAGGAAACCAGTCAATTTAAATAAATTAATTGGGCCCTAATCTATGGATTTCACATGACTCGGCAGGGGCGCAGCCATGGGTGGGCCTGGGAGGCCATCGGCCCACCCATATGGGAGCAAGGCCCACTCACTGGGGAGCCAGGCACAGCCAATCAGAATGAGTTTTTCCCCACAAAAGGGCTTTATTACAGACAGAAATACTCCTCAGCTCTCCGGGTGGCTGGTCTCAGATGATCCCGCAGGTGAAGAAGCCGGTTGTGGAGGTCCTGGGCTGGTGTGGTTACACATGGTCTGCTGTTGTGAGGCCGGTTGGACGTACTGCCAAATTCTCTAAAACAATGTTGGAGGCGGCTTATGGTAGAGAAATTAACATTTAAATTATCTGGCAACAGCTCTGGTGGACATTCCTGCAGTCAGCATGCCAATTGCACACTCCCTCAACTTGAGCCATCTGTGGCATTGTTGTGTGACAACTGCATATTTTAGTTACCATTTATTGTCCCCAGCACAAGGTGCACCTGTGTACTGATCATGCTCTTTAATCAGCTTTTTGATATGCCACACCTGGTAGGTGGATTGATTATCTTGGCAACAGGGATGTAAACAAAATTGTGCACAATATTAGATAAATACGATTTTTGTAAGTGTGGAAAATTTCGGGGATCTTTTATTTCAGCTCATGAAACATGGGACCAACACTTTATATTTTTGCTCAGTGTATTTGTGCCTTATAATGTCTTTGTATTCTCATGGGTTACTGTAATCCATTTTGAGTTAGTTGAAAAATTGCCACAAAAATATGACACACTATGAATTATGCATCCATTTTTAATAGGCCATAATACATTACACTTGTTGGCTTTAAGAAAAGCCACAAGTCAGTTTTAAGAGGTAGTTTAATTCAAAAGTTCATGGAAGCTTTTTCATTTCTTTGTCTACATTTCATTTTACTTAAGTTTTGAAAGGGGAAAGTCATTTTCATACCAGGATTTGGACTATGTATTGTCAGTGCTGTGTATGAAAACTGAATTTGGACTATTAGCATGGACCCACATGTATTAACACCTCATGGCCAAGGTTCCTTATTATTTCCCATCAGGAGAGGAGGGTTGTTGGCTAGGAGTGTTGTAAGCGTGATCCCCCATTTTATGCCTTGTGTCTGTGTTCCCGCAGCAAATTCCGCCTGTCCTATTACCCTCACCGTATTGACAACTTTAAAGAGATCCTGATGGGAGCCTTCCACGGGAAGTGTGAGCACAGTGTCTACGGCGACTTCAAGACCTACACCCCCGGCCAGAGCCAGGCCCCCTGCTACTTCATTCACGTGGTCAAGAAGACCGCTTAGTAACCCCACCAAACTTTCCCATGATTTTGTATCTCCAACCCCCATTATTCCTCCCTACGTTTTCTGTCGTGTCTGTCTTCTGCTGACCCTTCTGTTCAAACCGCCTCTTCTCCCTTTCTGAACCAAAACAAACCTGAGCCCAAATGCTGTGGCGGTCATGAAATGTTGTCAGCCGTGGCGTGTCAAGCAAATAACTGCCGTCTCACAGTAATTTACAGTTATTTAACATAAACACGTTTAGCATCTCCTGGCTTCCACGCATAGCCTTCAAGCCACTGATGCAGACCTTTTGGAACATCTACATTTAATCACAACTCTAATAAATACACTTAATATAGCCTACACCATCACAATAAATCCATTATTTATTTTAGACGGGTCTAAAGAAACATGATATGAAGAAAATGTATAGCATACTCTGAATTGTCCTTATGTTAGGCCTTGATCTGGCTATGCCATATGGCTGTGGGCAACACTAGTTCATGTAGCAGACGAGTTGCTTAGAATTCTGTGGCATTATTTTATAGTATGAAGAATACAATTGAACATGGCTGAATAAAATAGAAAGGATATTTTCTCCAAACGATTTGAGGGAGTGCGCACATGAGGCTATTCTGTGTTGAGCGGTTAATAAAGAAACCGGTCCTCCTAAATGCTTAATTTAGTTATTTCTGCAACTTTAGATGTTTTTTTTATACATTCTAAGGCTGCAAAAAGTCGTCATCTATGAGCTCTGCTTTGTTTCTTGTGCAGGCTGCACACACTTCATCAGTCTTTAATTCATAATTTGACAAGCACTTGATAATATTCTCACCAGGCCTCGGATTTCCCAGCGGCATCCCCCTTATGTGACGTTAAATGACCCCTAAACTGCGGCCAGAGTGGCAGTTGTGTCCTTTGGCTGAATATAATAATTTAAATGCTATTAGCACCTCACTAACATGGCTCTCTCAGATATCTCAATTCTTATTAGCCAATGCCCGTCACGTGATCAGGTCCATCTCACAGGCATCTCAGCCCCGAAGTGAAGACGGACACATCGGGGACGCAACTGCGCGGTTCCCTCTTATCAAATTACTAGGTGCATATTGAAGATGTTAGAACTGTCCACATTTACTATTCGTCAGCCAGCAAAAGCACTAGCCTATGTCAATCTACTATCCCCCATAGTACAAAAGTTGACCTATTCTATTGGTCAACTTGTCATTCTGTGCGAGAAATAAATATTCCAAACATACTCTGGGACAGTAATACAACCACTCGCATCAATAAACCTTTTAAAAGCAATGAGCCTGATGCAACAGATCAGAACGTTTTTTGCAACAGATTAAAATTTTGTTAGGCTACTGCTTCACATTATAAGCGCAGCAATGCACACACTGCAGTAGGCTATAATCGTGAATGTTCCAAAATGCAATCCATTAGCGGGAAATCACTGTTCTCAAATGTGACCACAAATGCGATTTATGCACGTAATGCTTTATTATAAAGGTGCATTTTTATGGTGAAAATTATCTTCCCCAAACTTGAAACTCACGCGCTGCCTATGTATGCCAGTTAGGCTCTACACCGGTTGTAAAGCAGATTTAATGTGCTTAATTTTAAGAAGTTATTTGACCACTTTAGTTGTGATACAAACCTTATCAAAACATATAGGCTTATGGACTAGGCTACATGAGGTGTGCGACTGATTTGAATAAGTACAAAAATAACAAGAAGGCAGGTGCACTTTCTTGCCTTACTGCACACACTGGGCATCATTCACAAGTGATAGGCTAATATTATCACCCCATCAGACTGTTCTTGATTTAGTCTTTACGTAGACTAAATAATATGTGAATTTGTTTTGATTTAGAATGGACCATTATCATGCACCTGTCTCGGAACAGGGGCAGGGGAAAGAAATACATGTCATCTATGCACATAAATGGCGACTGGAGGACTCTTTTCACATGGTTCATTTTCATGTGGGCCAGGTAGGCTATACTCCTGTTGAAAAGCGAAGCAATGTGCTTAATATTGGGAAAGTTGAGAAATAAATCTATTAGGCCTAGCCTATAGAAAGCTGATGGGATCCTCTTTTTTTTTTTAATAGAGGCCATCAATTGTTTTCTTACGCAATTGCATAGCCTAAAGAAATGTTGTGCAACATGAGCTCATGGGCTCTCATGAAGTTTGATTTGATTTTTGATTACATTAGCATTTATGTCAGAGTGATTAGAGGGACAATAGAGTGCTGATTACCAGACAGTTAGCAAGTTTGGTAGGCTACTAATGACCATCAGCAGCATCAGAGCTTGGAGAAGCCTAGTTACCGTGACTAAATGGTCACGTGGAATCTGACTGCGGTCATGACTCGTGACCGCCCGTGTGGCGGTAATACGGTCACCATAACAGAACTACTTGGGAGCTAATGCTCAAAGGCATGAGCCTTTGGTTTATAGTGAATGCATCTGGGTCCCATTTGTTAAAGTTGCACTCATTGACCCATGTAAGTCCCTCATTGCAAAAGCTTAGAGCACCCTCTGTCACACTTTAGTCCCCTAATGATTACAGCGTTCATCCTTTCAAGTCCTGTATTCAGACTTCAGTCATTTGGCATTGCCCCACACTCTCTCTGAGGTCAGAAGACCGTTGCATGAGTGAAGGGCATACAGCCATTTTGTTAGGTTTTGCAATGTTTGAACTTGTTCCGCTCACCTGTAATTGACTTTTCACTTCAGCTCGTAGAACATTAGTCGTTCCATACTTCATGTTCTGTGGGACTAGGGAATGACTTGCACGATAAACCTAGTGAAGTAGCCAGTCTCCACGGGAACTGGATTAACAATAGCTTTTTTCACCTATGTTTTCTTTTCATCTGAGTTCTCTGCACAGATTTGGCAATCCCACTTTGTCCACAAATTCCTCGTCAAATTAGACAATGCTTTTCCCCGTTTCTGATTTTTGCCGCAGTACTTTGAAAGGCTTCTCTTTGTGTCTCAGATATTAGTTTTAAAGTGTTAATCGGCTTGCTGGTCAGCCAATAACAGTTTGTACTTTTGGTGGGGTATTTTGAGGAATGCGCTTACACTAACCAAATCCTCATAGGCTCATACACTAGGCCAGTGTTGTAGACACAGCACTGTGTGCTGATAAACCAAAAATAAGGATCTATGTCCTCCTCTGCTGGTCTCAAGAGTATAATACAAAGAATTGAAAGCGCAACTTCATTTAACGGTCCAATGGGCATTGAAGATGTACAGTACTAAAAACAGTAAAACTATCGGCCAATTAATTTTAACTTTTGTATCGACCTGTTCTGATCCAAGTTTTATTCAACATTAGTCGCCTTTGCAAAATCTAGGGATTATACAAATGGTATGATAGACTGATTTGGCCTTAAGTGAGCCATACAAGCAAAGGTACTGAAATGTATTTTTTCCATGGACAAATCTTTGAGCTTTGCTCTACTCTCAAAGAAATGTCACTACTTTACTTCATTAATATATTTTCATGATCCAAAGATTTGATTGTTTTGTGATTGTTCGAATGACAATAAACTTGCTTAATTTGTGTTTATTTTTTACTCTCAATTCAGTTAATCTTAATTTTCCTCAAAGAAGATTAGACATTATTCATTACAATTGGTCATTTATAACATCAAACCAAAATGTTACATTTCCAATGTCCTGCATCACAAAATGGTTTTAAACTTAGTTCAGTTATCTTACTTCAAATTGCATATATTGTACTTCAAAAAGTGACTGGCGTTTATTTTGTTATCTTGTGAATAAAATATGTGTAATTGTAAATATGTAACATTTTATTGAATTGTCCAACCTTTTTGGCCAAATGTAATTGTTCAGAATTTGGAAAGCATTTTGTCAGTTAGGACAGTGATTTGCCAATTCAGTGTGTTAAATGTGTATGTTTGGTAGTGATTTTTTAAAATAATGAACTGCACTACTACCTGCAGGACAACAATGGAACATTCTAGTTCTGAAATTATTTGTCGCCTAACCCCAACCCCACGGTTATCCTGCAGATTTTAAACGATCTAATAGGCAATGGCTAAAGCATTAGTGAAATGCTTTTTAATGAAAATTCCACATCAGAAGGCAAGGCGACGCAATGAGCACATGGGGCCGATCATGGGGTTGATCTGAGTTTAGTAGTTGAGTTTAAATGCTGAGAAGTTAGTAAGGTTGATTAAGTGGTTAGAAGGAATAGATAATTAGGCTCTGATCGTAGTGTGACTCGTCTGTATAAATTCAAAAAAATATCTTCCCTTGCAGATAATATATATATTTTTTAACAGTCTTATACTCTGTTGTCAAGCCTTAAAGAGTTCAACAAAATGTTTACAATGTTTTGTTTTTTGCTTATGTGATTATTGGAATTATTTTATTGGACTGGAATACAGAAGCTTTTAAGTGTGTAAAAGTGGTTGAATAATAGATTTCAGTTTATCGTTGATACAAAACTCGTAAAGTGGTCAACAGGTTAACACCCTGGGCCTGGTTTCCCATGTGATGTTTTTTTTTTTACAATGCATCATATCCGTGCAAAGCTAACATAATTGATATAATATGCTGATTTGGCATTCAGAATATAAACGGCCTCTATAAGCCTAGCACTATTCTGTTTAGTTGTACCCTGGCCTATCATAACCCAAAATCTAAAATTGCATTTAATACTTTATGTTCATGGACTGTCAGTCCTGGCATCCATAGCAGTCTATGAATTTTGAGAGAGGCTATGGCAATGTAGCGTATTCTGTTACGAACTAGCATGGCTGCTATTGGGCTGAAACACTCTAGAATTGTGGCGTTAAACTAACACATCTACACAGATGGTGACTATATATTTATCTGTTTTAGTACAACAATTGGTATTGTTTTATTGTCTGATGCCAACAATTTGACTTTTATCTAACAATTTTACATTTAAAAGGCTCTGGTAAACCAGGCTTTGGTCAATAGAATACCCCCACCTCCAGTCTCTCAAGCATATCCCACTGGGCACAGTACGTCATTTCAACATGGACAATTGAGTAAGATTTGGTTGAGACATTAATCAATGAGATTACAACATATTCACCCACTCAAAAAAGCAGGCAAATGTTTGTTGGATTCCAAATGTGTTATCACTATGCTTTCAACATCTAAAAGCACAGCCAAATTCTAATGGAAAAACAATGTCTGAATTTTGGTTTAGTGGTCACCTAAAGTTCAAAATGGGAAAACAATGTCAGATATTTTGTT